GGGGGGGGGGGGGGGGGGGGGGGGGGGGGGGGCCTTCGCAGTACCTATTAGAGTACGGAGCCGGATGTCATCTAATGAGTTGCTTCAGAATTGGTACTTCTGAAGGGTGAAAAAAATTCAAATCACGCCTACAAAACAGAATCTTGATACCTCTTCCGAGTTCTTTTCAAAATTTCCTACGAGCACCCCCGTCCTTTTATATAGGACTGCCCTCAGCACCATGTGTATATCGGCCATAGCAGCATAATTAAGTCCAGGCACAGGGGAAAACACAAGATCCAAAATTCTCGTTCTCAGTTATAAACCTGATGGTCTTCGTGAATGAACTTTTGTAGTCCTTAGCCGCATTCCTGGTCCGTGGAATCTAAAAACTGTCTGAGTAGGAGGCTGTAGAAGTAGCTATACATCCTACACTCAGAGGGGTAGCAGACTACTAAGTTCAAGTGTTTGTGCAAACGTGCACTGAAAGTAGTGAAGGTTTTTTTAATTTAGCAAAGTAGACTAACCCTTGCGTTGTTGTAGACGAGGTGCAAAGCCCTGGCCAAACGGACTCGTAAGTAGTCGCAAGTAGCCGCAAGACTGTAGTACACACAAGTCGCAATAAACCCATTTCAGGGCAGAAATATCCTGATTTCATTGGCTAATTAATAGGTTAATGGACGCCACTCAACTTGCGTTGACTTGGTTTGGGTGGCCAAACGGTGAAAAACGTGCGTCGACTTGCGTGCAAATTTGATCTCGACCAAAGCGAGCGCAAGTCATCGCAAGTCAACGCAAGAGCACGCAAGGCCTGGTCAAACGTAGTCGCAAGTAGACCCAAGTTTTCAAATTCCTCTATTTGCGAGTCTAGTCAACTTTAGCGGTACTCGCCAGGAGTATTGAAAGAATGTACAATTAATGCACGATTACTTTTTAATGGAATATAACTTACAATAAAATGAATTTTAACTCACATAGCAGTGTTTTTAAATATCGGAGAACATTCTAAACCAGAGTACAATCGTTCTCTGAAATTTACAGTATACTTTACACTAAGTAAAATACAGCTACTATTTACGGGGCAAAAAAAAGTTGTTTTTAAATCGTGACATGCGACCGTTAAAAGAGACCAGCGCAGTTCTGTTTAGTTCACTTTCCTGATCCATGCTTTAAAAAATGTTGGCAATCAAAGAATCCCTATTAACCCACGATACGGTTTGTTTGAGATAGTCGCTATGGAGACTACGTCTCAGTTGATTGTTATAGAAACCGCTGCGGTGTGTCCGCAGGGGTAGGTGAGTTGATGTTGTATTTCTTAAAGCCTTAGCCCTATATCACACTAATTACGCGTTCGTGCAAAGCAAGGATGACCGCTTGTTTCGGACTGAAATCAGTGCTCGTACAAGAAGAGCTCTTTTAAGCTCAAAAGTGCCGAGTCTATTGTTCGCGGTGAATAACTGAACAATTTCCCAGTTTACCTAAAAGAGGTCGAACCCAGGACCTTACAGAGTGTTTTCACATGACGTCACGGCAGCCATGTTGGTGTACCAAACCAATCCTGTGGGAGTGGAACTCTTTTCTTATGTAAACACCTTTTATTCCAATAAATTTGCACGTGGTTCGCCTTGTGATTGAAAACGCTCTACAATATTGTACCAGAAGTGTAGCAGCTCTGGTAAGCTTGTAATTTTTTTGCTTGTTAGTAGCTGTTATTGTTTTGGCGCTAAGGGCATTGTTTATCTTGTTTGTTCTACTGTCCTCTCAAAGGACATCAAGTCATTCATGGGAAACCTCACAAGAGCTGCTTCCCAACCCTATTATTCACCCGTCATGTGGTCTACCACGCACACATCAGAAATTTGCGAGAACATGGATCATAAATTTGCGGATTATATTTGCCGATTTGAGTCACATGCTACAGCCGTGATGAGAAAACAAAATGAATAAATAAAAATAAATAATATAAAATGGAATAAATAGATCAAATGTATAACACTCTACTGTTAACAATAAATTCAACAAAGCCTTCGCACTGCAAAGACACCAGGAAATATTCTGCCTACAATAAAGTATTGACAAGGAAAATATTCAAGCCAGTTGGCTCACCTTATAGGAGCCCCTTCGTGGCGCATTGCTAAGAAACATAGGACAACATATAGCGGTGATGTACCTGACTTCGATCTCTCTAAAACTCTTTAAAAACAGGTAAAAATCGTTCCAGAATAAAGTCTGCATACAACAAAGTTATTGACAAGGAAAATATTCAAGCCAGTTGGATCACCTTGTAGGAGCCCCTTTGAGGCACATTGCTAAGAAACAAAGGACAACAGATAGCAGTGTTGTACCTGCCTTCCATCTCTCTAAAACTCTTAAACAGGTAAAAACCGTTCCAGAACAATGTCTGCTTACAATATGGTATTGACAAGGAAAATATTCAAGCCAGTTAGTTTACCTTGTAGGAGCCCCTTTGGGGCACATTGTTAAGAAACAAAGGACAACAGATAGCAGTGATTTACCTGACTTCCATCTCCCTAACACTGCCAAACATGCAGCAATCTTTCCAGAAGAAGGTCAAAAAGAACAGAGACTAACTAAAAGCTGGACATGATAAAAATGAATAGTTTGACCGTAAAATATTCCTGTTAACACGAAAAGCATCCACATTGTTTTTTCACAGACGTTCGTTCCTCAGAATGCTGTTCTTTAGCGAAGTTGATGAAAACCTGCGGAAAGAATACATTGTAAGGACTTGTGCCACCTTTGTTAACCATGATTTGAAACAGCTAAATCAACGTTCCTAAACACGGTAAAATTAGGCATCTGAAGAAAAAAATAGTATATGTATGTCTCTACGTGTAGTATAACTTTAACAAATTTACGTTTTGATAAGCGTTTTTTAAAACAGGAAATGGTAAAATGACACTACGGCTACCTAAATAGCGCTCAGGTTAGCCTAAATATCACTAACTCGACAGTGCTTAGCTCTCAATAATTGTAAGGGTTTTTACCTTACAGACAGCCACAGCCCACGTTTACTCTTACGCGTAGTCCCAATTTGTCTTGTCGTGTCTTAAACCCTTAACTCAGCACTACCTGGAGTTTTTATTGCGAAAGAAATTTCTCAGTATTACTCACCTGCTCAAGTGTGGTTTGACTGACACTGTAGTCCACAATATTCAGAGCGGCTCTGTTTCTCTCCAACTGACCAAAGATGTAAGACCAACTCAAACCTTCGGTTTCCACCTGGAAGTGCAGAACGCCCTGAAATGGCCAAAAAAGAGGTTAAACACCACCACCACATGGCAAGCAAGCTACACACGACTTTACCCTATATGAAATAGTTTACACCTTATCTGCTAAGTTCAACATGTAATCTATTCTCGCTGCATTGTGTAAAATTCAACTTGGCAGAGGTTGGTTTTAATCAACGGGAATTTTTAAGGACGATCAGGCTCTTGATTCTCCTTACCTGCCTACTTGAATTTGGTACAAAACAAAGAGCGAAGAGAAGTCAGTACTTCACCACTGCTCCATAATTAAAGTTTTTCAAAGTGTTATGTTAGTAAGGATGCGCATCAATTCCAGGCCACGTAACAACAAAAGTGCAAAAGTGATTCTTTAACAACAATAACGATGCTCAAGTTGACACATTCTTAACCCGTCCAAACTTACATTGTGACTTTCCAGAAGCCTCGCTCCTGGGAAAGTTTGAGAGATAAAGTTCTGCGCATTTGTCACAGCTTGTATGAGCCCGCTGTCATATATAATCGGCTGCACTTGGCCGGGTGGAACCTGGAATTGAGTAGGATATGCCGGGTAGGTAGAGATGGGGACAGTAGGTTGAACATCGCGGCTGCTGATTACTCCAGGTGGACCATTAGGAGTACCTGTACAAGACAAAAATAATCTGGTTTCTACACGCAGTTGTTAAAACTATCATCCTCCATAGAGAAAGGTCTGGATAATATTAACTAAGAAATAACAAAAACGAGAACGGACAAAAATAGACCATCTCCGAGTTACCTTGTGCCTCTGTTTGAAAACCTTACTTTTAAAGCCTTACGAAAATTAGTTTGATTTGCATGAAAATTAACCTAGAGGCGGAACACATTTTTATATGAATGGTTTCGCCCGAAGACTCGTCTTGACACAGAGGTAAAAGGCAACTTGGAAATGGCCTATTGAACCGACAAGTGCCCAAGCATAGCCTCACCTTCAGGAGGCGACTTCTCTGGTTCATTGACTTCCGGCAATTCAGCGGTAGCCACTGGATTGGTGAAAACCATTGCTGGAGGAGGCCCAGACGCGGCGATGGGTGGAGTAGGATGGAGGCCGTTGGCTACCTGCGGGGGCTGGGACGGAATGGAGCCAGCAACTTTGATCATCAAAGTGTAACCAGTTCCAAATCTGCAGCGACAAAATTATGCCTGTCAGGGACTCATTGAGAGAGAAAAATCTCTCACTTACTCTGCTGATTACTTTGATTTTAATGATAAGATGGTCAAGAGAAAACAGTTCAACGCCCCATGTTACTACATAAATTAAAATTTTCAAGATGGTCAGGAGAAAACACTTCCATGACACTAGTTAGCATATAACCTTAAAATTTACAGTGTCATTGTTAAGGAAACTTGGCCTAGACAGTGCTAATCTGCAGCTCTTAAAACTCACTGTCCTGTTATTTAGAACGGGCGTTTAGTTTTCTTTAAGAAACATTCCAGCTTCATGCAAACAGACCGTGTTTACTCCATAGAAAATAACAACATACCTGCTCTTGAGATGTTGAGTGGATCCTAAACATTTAAACTGCCCATTCACCATGATCGCCAGTCTTGTACACAGAGCCTCGCACTCTTCCATGCTGAAACCAGGTAATGACAGGGTTTAATTTCTCATTATAATTGGCACCAGACAAAGTAATGAGCTGGGTGTTTGCCAGTAGAAGATTTAACTGAACTTCACGTATGACAAAGAACAAAGTTTTTCTTAGTTACCTGTGCGAAGTCAGCACAATGGATCGGCCTCCTTTCATGACAGTCATCAAGGAATCCCACAGAAAACGGCGAGCAACTGGATCCATACCAGTGGTGGGTTCGTCCTTCAGTGACAAAAAAAAAATTTACAAGCACGAAGTGACCACGAGGGAAACCACTGTGACCCATGGAGGATATAACTGGGGGACGTCTCCACACCGTCAAACAACGTAAGACAGTTTAAGTGCCAAGCCTGTTGTTTCTCAGTGCCAAAAAATTGTCTGCGTTTGCAGGTAGATTACCAGGACAATCTGCCCACTTTGCACACCCGGGTAAAGAAAGCTTTTATCCTGAGGGGAGATGGGCCAGGATGTTTCGATCTCTATATATGTGTACAGCGTGAGTGATAAACTCTGGGTGTGGATGTCCAGGCTTGCTATGACAATGCTTCATACAAAAAATATATTCAAATAATCTCAATGGTAAACAGTTTCACTCACCAAAAATACAATTGGAGGGTTACCAACCAACGCAATGGCAGTGCTGAGTTTTCGTTTGTTTCCACCGCTGCGAATTAAAAACAGTACAATGCATATTGTAGAGATAACATACACTGTTAATGAAGATCTTCATACAGCTACAATCTGCATACAACACGACACGAATTTGTAATCCTATGATTTCGGTATTGATTTTCCAGTATTCCCCCATCATCGAAAGTCATTTATTGAACCGAAAAGCTACGAAAATGTGACATTGATTCCTTATACAAAATGAACGTGATTTCAATGTGGCTTACTGGTTTAACAATCACAGAACACAGCCAGAACTATCGTACAGTGGCTGTCTAATAGTTGTTCACAGTTAGCTTTCTTATTTGCATTACAATGCTATCCAACGTGGATGCGAGGTAATTTCGCCAGGCAGAACCTACAAAATTGTCCGTAATTGCCTCACATACATGTAAGCTTACGTGTTAGATTATATTACAATGTAAATGAGGAAAGTTAACCGTAAAAAGGGCTATCAGTAACTTTTCTCACCTGTAGTCTCCACACAGTTTATCTGCCCAGTTGGTCAAATTTAAGTGCTTTATAGTAGCAGAAACCAAGTTTTCTATCTTATTTGATGGCACACCCCGAAGACGAGCGTACATTGTGAGCATTTCACGGCCAGTTAGACGTTCAATGAGGGCATCAAACTGAGGATGAAAATTGAGATAGAGGAAAACCTCGTGTATTTAACTACAGTCAACCTAAATGAGTTAAAGGATACCAAACTTAACAGTTGGTTGGTTAACAATAACCTTGTGTCTAAAGAGCTCAGTCACGGTATTTTGAGTTATTTTGGCGCGTACAAAATTACCTTTAAATTGAAGGAAAACTGAAAATAGTAGTTAGCTAAGATAGAAAAACACCAAAGAGATGATAATAGACCATAATGGAACAAGGATGGTAAAGGATGGAGAAGATTAACACGGATTACAAACAACGAACTTGAAAACTTTGGGCTAAACTTTTAAGATGCGCAAACCGTGACTTAGCTCCTTTGAACGTCAGTATAGAGACAATATGGAGCATCTAATATGATTGAATACACATGCGTCCACATGGAAATGCACTTTAATTACGTGATATGACCTGGGTTTTTATGAAGGCAAGTTATTAGACCTTTTTGGAATTGCTCTCACACCAGATTTTGTAATCATAACTTTAAGAAAGTGAAGTATCAGACCTTACACAGATCGGGTGGTAACAAGCGTTTGGTTATTTACGGGTGTAGCCTTAAGTAAAAAATCGAGTAAATAAGAGCAACTGACCTGAGGGCAATAACCAATCCTCTGCTGGACCTGAAATTAGACACGAGTTGTATTGGTGAACAAAGTAACTGCTCTGCCTTGTGTAACTGTTATCATCAAAACTGGATCATTGGATAATGCAATTCCAGAGTTTTCATTGGCTTAGCCATCATGGGTTATGAGCCATTATACCATGCTCTACAGATATGATAAGCGTATTAAAGCGTACGCGTGCTTTTGGGGGGCGTTTTTACTTTTATTTTAGTTTAGTTTGCTATATTTTGAGGGCGCGCTTGTTGAATATGAGATGATTATAGCTAACTCATATCCAAAGTGAACTCATTGTTAAATAAACCTTAAGAGCACTGCATGTCGTTCTAGCTAGCTAACAAACCTCTCTTAAGTTTGTCTGAATGTTGAATCCATCCAGGAAGGCAGTCCCTTCAGTGATGCTCAGATCTCCTGTCAACATGCTGAATGTTGTGGTCTTACCAGCACCTAGAAACACAACAAATCAATCACTAACCTATTTCAGA